CTGAGAATGGCTTTCTGTCTCCTGATAAACTTTCTTTGCTAAAAAAAACTTGTATCTGAAAGGAAGGAAGTAGAGAGACCGATGAAATGGACCAGGTAGAACTGGTGGACTTTGATCCAGATCAGGAAAGATGGCGCCATTACAAGGAGACGCACATGAGGATGCTGAACGTCATCCCCGAGGTGGTGCTCAGTGTCAGACCTCTTAAGGGACCCCGTATATAACACGTTGTCATATAATTTACATGCAGTGGTGAGTGAGTGAAGGGCTGTAATCATAATATGCTCACTCCTTGCTATTGTTTTTGTTTTAATATTCATCAATAGCAGTGTTTTAAAAAGTTAAATGAAGACTAAATGCAAATATAAAAGCTGGAAAAAAAACCACAAACTGATGCCTGGCACTTGTGTGTATGTGTGCTCAAGATCCCAAGAAAAGGGAACCAGCAGTTGGCGTAATGGCTATGTCGCTGGACTCCCACGTAGTCGACCGCGGTGCGTGTCCCGGACCCGGTGGCTTAAAACTCACGCCGGGCACGTGTGCGTGCGAGCCCAAGATCCCGAGAGGAGAATGGAGGAGAAGGGATTGCGGCGTGACCATCCCCCCTGGGGGGTGATTTCTCGCTTGCTGTCTCTATGTCTCTCTCTGTCTGTCTGGCGAGCGCATGCGCCCTACAGTGAAAATCTCTCAAAAAAAAAAAAAAACCCCAAGAAAAAAATGAAGGAGAAGGGATTGTGGCGTGGCCATCCACCCTGGTGACTTCTCACTTTCCCTAGCTCTCTGGCAAGGGCATGTGCCCTATAGCAAATATCTCTCTTTAAAAAAAATAAAGGGGAACCAGCAGTTAGCGTAATGGCTATGTCGCTGGTGGCTTCAAATCACGCCGAGCACGTGCACGCCCCAAATCCCGAGAGGAGACTGGAAGAGAAGGGATTGTGGCGTGGCCATCCACCCTGGTGACTTCTCACTTTCCCTAGCTCTCTGGCAAGGGCATGTGCCCTATAGCAAATAAATGAATTAATTTTAAAAAGTAAAATTTAAAAAGTGAGCAGGTTTATTCTTGTTGCCCACCGTCACATCAGTCTGAAATTTTGATAAAAAAGAAAAAAATGCTCCTGGTGTTAAATTTGGGTCTCAGAAAGGTTTCCTTTGAGTAAATCACCATCTTGTGGCAAGGAACATTACTTGCAGGAGAAAGAAGTTGATTTTTAATCTTTCAGGCTCTGAGATTTTCCGGTAACCCTTCAAGTGAGAAAGACGTGCATTTAAACAAAGCGAAACAAACACATACAAATGTAACTTCCGTAGGGCCAGCCTTATTAAAAAAGATCTGGTGTTGAGACAGAGCAATCAAATCACTGACTCATATCATAAAACATATAAGAAGATGGAAGTTTCATTAAATCGAGATGTCAATATCAGAGGTGGCCCAAGGTGACCCATTTGGGGAACTGACCGTTCTGAAAGTGGAAGGGATTGCAATGAACAATTGCAGACGGCGAGCCCGCTGGTGCTGCGGAGCCTGAGGAGGCTGGATCCCGCATGGCTGACTCCATGGTTTGAGTCCCAGAACCAGCGACTTGAGAAACACACATGGCACATGTGCATGTGTGCCCAAGATCCTGAGAGGGGAGTGGAGGAGAAGGGACTGTGGCGTGGTGATCCTCCCTGGGGAGAGGGGGTCTGTCTCTTTGTTTCTCTCTCTCTCTCTCCTGCGAGTAACATGAAGTTCTATAGCAAATTTTAAAAAAAAAATAAAACGTTGTGGGACCAGCAGTTAGTGTAATGGCTATGTCGCTGAACTCCCATGTAGTCGACAGCGGTTTGAGTCCCAGACCCGGTGGCTTAAACTCACGCCGGGCCCGTGTGCGTGCGTGCCCAAGATCCCGAGAGGAGAATGGAGGAGAAGGGATTGCAGCGTGGCCATCCCCCCGGGGGTGTGATTTCTCACTTTCTGTCTCTCTGTCTTTCTGGTGAGCACACACTCCCTATAGCAAAAACCTCTAAAAAAATTGCACGGGAGGACAGTTGTAGAACTGTAAAGATGGCCCAGTAAGCAATGCTGTGCCTAAGGACTGACACTGTGGCTGCAAGGACAATTGTCATGAAACTACACACAAGATAACAGCAGGTGCATTCAGAGCGAGAGAGGGAGAAGGAGGATGTTTAGAGGCCTGAAAGACGCATCGTTGTCAGTATTTCTGTCATTGTGC